AATTGCTCTCTAAATGGTTTCTTTTACCATCTCTGTGTCTATGATTCTTCAACTGAAACACTGTGCTTTACACATTATCACAGATACCAGCTTTTAGCTGACTCATTGAATGAGAGAGACTCTGAGACTCTATTGGATGGTACACTGCTCTCTCATATACTTCTAACATCAAACATTTATCTATCATCTTTTAACTCTATCCCAGCTTAAGGCATCTTTGCCAGAAATTACATACGGTTTCAAATAAACATATTATTTATATTTGTCTTTTGCCCACCTCAGGGAATTTAGACATTACAAATTTTCCACTCAGATTGAGTCTGTTGCACTGGCAGTTTCAGCCACAGCACACATCAGATTTTAGATAAGCGAACTGTTTCATTACAGCCCATAACAAACTTATCTTTTGAAAGCAAAACATCAGCTCTGTTCTTTTCATGGTCAACACTAGCAGGCCTTTTTTGTTTAATCAAATGCCTTTCAACACATTTTACATTTAGCAACTGTTAATTCAGTAGCCTACTGCTTCTGCTTATTTGTTCTTACATAATGGTAATTATTCTAGTTCTCAATAACATTTCACATTTCTCAATCCCTATTTTAGTTGTCAAGTTCTCAATTACCATAACTTAATATCTGACCTCAAAGTTTTCTCTTCTAGGAGTTTATCAGTCTCCAATCAGGATTCACACTAACTTTTACAAGGCTACTGCCTCTTTTGCAGTTATTATAAATCATCTGTGAGATTAGTCTCTCTATATCATCTAAAATCTTTTTAAAATTTTTAATTGCAACACAATCATCCTTTTAGTTACTTTGATATATTCTGCAACTCACATTTGTTGGAGTCATTAATTTTACATCAACTTATAAAAATTACTATTATAGATCTTTTCTTCAAAAGGATTCACTTTAAGACTTCAATCTTTTGACCTTTTTTTTTATCTCTTATTTCTCAGACCAAAGATTGTCACTGTCGTCATTTAAACACTGATCTATTTTCAACCCTACATTATTATCAGAAATGTGTCACGTGTCAAATGGTCCTACTGACCACAGTCAAGACAATCTCTGTCATCTGGTTGGTTCGTGTGTCAGCCTCAACTACAGCATCAGACACCTTGCAGTTTGATCACTGTGAGCTTCCAAAGGGCTTCAACTTAACACGCCCTTGAAGCAGTGTGTGTCCCATTCAGGAATGTAAACAGACCCACTGATAAGCAGTTCTCTGTATTCCTTTGACCATCCACCAATGGCGGATTCAAATCACAATAGCCAAATCATACTCTTTATCATTATTATTGGCAGAACATAATTTCATGAGCAGCACAGAAAATGCTCAAAATATTCGAATTTGTTTTCTGTCTTTACCTTAGTAATTTGGTATTATCATCAACAACACTAATTACAAGTACTGTTGCTGTTATCCCAGCTTATCTTTTACAAAACATCATCTGCAAATCTCTTCAAAGTGAGATCTTCAGAGCAGAGCTGTTTACAGCATTTGCTCTCTTCTGTCTCACTATTTATTTACTTATTTATTTTCCCGGACTGTTCCGTTACTCTTCATAAAGTGTAACAATTTGTACAACTGGTTTGAAGCCTTTTTTCCTTCCATCACATTATTGTCTCAGTCTTATCTCTACTGTTTCTCCAAAACAGATTATATTACTCAGTCCGTAAATTACACAGACAACCATTATAGCTACTTGCTTCAATACCCTTATTTTCTTAACATGAATAAAATAAAGCAGATATATCATCATTTTCAATCATTATTTTATCAGAATCTAGAATTGTTCCCCATTCTGCTTAAAACATTCTTCATGTCATGTTAATCCCTGTCAATCATACAATGCCTTATTTTATTCTAAAACTTTTCATATCATTTAAACATTTTACATTTGACTTCCATAAATTCTATCAGACCATGTCTATTTTCATCACATATAGTTTTCTACTATATTTCTCCTTTCTTTTCCCTACATGCCAGTTCCTTCATTATCCTCTCCTTTCTTTTCCCTAACATGCCAGTTCCTTCATTATCTAACCAGTACATGATTGTTTGCTTACAATCCCCACACCCACGTGTCTCAACCTTTTGTTTTTTCACTTCCCTCTTCCACCAAGTCTCACTTACAGTTCAGTTCCCTCTATTTCACACAGACAGGCTTATTGCTTCTTGCTACTTCAATCCTTGTCATATAAATTTAAGTTCTATAGACATCCCATGTCATGCATCCATTATCTGTTCACATTTTTACACACGTTGAACGCAGCCACAACAACCTTTTGTCCCGCTGCCCTGTTCCACTGATTCTCGCACACTCTTAGTCTATTTGTGCTCAGTGTTCCCTCCCTGGGGAAATCATGGTATTTTCTCAGTTTTTCAATATCTAAAACATACATTTTTTCCCCCATACTTTCCTAGTTCTACAGAAAACCGGTGTATCAAATTTCGCAAGCTTGCTTTTGAGACATCCCCATACTGGCTGTTTTCTGTTCTCTGTGGATTTCTCTTCAACGCGCGTTTTCTTTAATCTGTTTAGGCGTCCCTAAACAAATCCGATTCTTTTCTTTTAACCCAAATCGGTCGGGTTGCACTATTAGTGCCCTCCTAATTATGGTTTACCAAAAAATTCTGGTTCCCCCTAATTAGCCTCAGTACCTAAAAACAATTTGCTCCGTCGTGGGACAACTAATTTTCAGGGTACCTATCTGTTTGAAATCTCTTGATCTGTTACAGTTCTCACTTAATCCCAGATTATTTCTCTGCTTGAAATTTCTTGTTCTGTTACAGACCTCAATTAATCTCAGATTTTTCCCTCGTATCTGTTTGAAATTTCTTGATCTATATAGATCTCAATTAATCTCAGATTACGTACCACAGAAACAGCCTTCAGCCAATATGGTTCAATTTCACTCTTCTCCCCAATTAAACTGAATTTAATTAACTTACCCAAAAGAAAATAAATTGAACTGTCTCTTACCAGAGATGCTTCTGTTGCCACCTGCGGGTTCTTTAGATTCCAGTGGTCGATTCTCCCGGCCCTGATATCGGTCGGCCCCTCTCTCTCAAGTTTACGAGGTAGAGCTGGAACTTACTTAGTCCAGGTGGCCAAACACCGTCCGATCTCAGGTCCAGGAGGCACGTCCAAGGAATATCACTTCTGACACCAAAACTGTTGTGGCAAAAATTCATCTCAAACATACATCACTGCGTAAGAGACACTCAGAGTCAAATTATATAAAATAGAAGTATTTATTCTTGCAAGAATAGGAGCAGTCTAATACACAGTTGTTACCCTGTGCAGAAGAGTGACACACCCCCAGACAGACTGAACCAGCTTTTATCTAAGTTTCAAGGCCTTCTTTCCCCCAGAGCCTTCCTCCCAGTAGTTTTCCATAGACTAAGCTCCCCTGCACCAAATGGCCTTCCGACATCTAGGTCAGAGGTCCCTGTTCGTCTGCTCCCTGGAGTGTCTCCCCCTTCTGCTTCCCCAGGTACATAAACAGAATCTTGTCTCACTACAAGTGAGAGACACACATGTGACATTCTTTGAATCATCTATATTTTACACATTGAATAGGTTCTCTCTCTTATGATATCTGTTAGGGATCAATGACTATTAAAATTTCCACAACAAATGCATTAAACATGAACTGTCTGACAGCAGCGCACATCAGGGCACAACCCCATGAGAGATGATCTAATACCTCCCCCAGACAGGACCTTTCAGTGGAGTCCCAAAAATGTATCTCTCTGATAACCCCACAGCGCTTATCATACATTTGGCAGTGTTCGATATATATACTCGTAAATACAGTACATTATGTTTGTACAGTCCTCACTTGTCTGCATTGCAAAAATCGTGGGATTGTTTACGTATTGTGTGCGCTTTCGAGCAGCAGGTGCGTTGTGAATGGATATTTGGACTTTTCAATGCCTGTCATTTGGGCTTTTCCTGTTTACATTTGACTGCTCATTACCGAATCCCAACAGCCAAAAGCCTGTGGCTTGCCGCTGAATAGCCGATCTGCTATATTATAAACACTCAATACTGCAACATCCTGGATTGAATGCGATGAGAAAGTTTGGCAGCAGCAAAGCACTGAGCTCATCAAAATCAGAAGCAGCGAATCACAGAACAATCTGTCATTAATCAATCTGATTTTTTAATCCAAACGCAGTGCTTTATCATCAAAATCCAAATCCAACATAACTGCATCATAAATAGCATACTAAGCTGCTTAATATTGATTAAAGATGTATTAAATCTGAACGCCAGCCCATCATAGATAACCATATATGTATGTTACATAATCTTATTAAAATCTACAGACAGACTTTCTGATCAAAGAGGCTTGCATCTGTGGTATCGCAACTCCTGTGCTTTGTTTTGTCTCTGAATTGTGTGCACCAGCCTTGAGACCCTGCTCAGAAAAGGAGCTGGGTAAAGCAAGAGAAGGAATATTGATAAGCGTATGGTTGAGTTCTTATGTAAGATGCAGTTACTTGCACAGCAGGAGGACAAATTCCCTTCAGCACAAACAGATATTAAATATTCCAATGCCAGTGGGTGAAATGGGGTGAGATGGGGGGGAATAAAGATAGAAAGGATAGATACATATCCCAATATACTGTATGTATTACTCATTTATGGCTTATGCTCAGCCACATGAAGACATTATTTAGGTCTTGGTCTTTTCATCAACACTGAGAAACTAGATGTTTAAAGTTGAATGGAATTCCAGGGCGTTGCTATGTGCTTGCTAAGCCATTCTGAGTGATTTTTAGTGCTGCTGCTGGGGTGTTCGGGGTGGTTGCTTACTGGCCCTAGGTAAAAAAAGGGCACCCCAAAATCTCTATAACATTCTGGTCAATAGAATTGGCATAAGTTCCACCTTAAAATATGGGATTTTTTAAGAGTGAACAAAAGCTTCAGATATTATGTGAGTTATTTCATGACATTTATGAAATTTTCTCTTTTTCCATTCAGGTTGTGGCCCAAATTGACAAGTTAACATCAGATATCGACCTTGACTCAGAGGATGACCTGACACTAGTGTGGTGCAGCGAGGACCGTGGCGACCTCTTGCACAATGAGACATTATCCGACAACCACTTACTGCACAATCCTCTCCGTAACCCAACCATAGCCAAGAAGCAAGAGTTAGACCTCTACCGCAGGAGCTGTGGAGATTTACCTGCCCTCAATGGACCGTTAAAGGCCCCAAACAGCCCTAAAGCCCCCTGGCTCTTTGGATCTGGAGGAAGGATCCATTCTTACGACAAGACACTATATCATGCATTGTGCTGTGATGATGATTACAATGAAGATAGAGGTGGAATGAGATCATCAAGGCTGTCATCCACAGATTCAGTGTTTTCATCTTCACCTCCAAGGTTTTTGACTCCCACATGTAAACGTAAAACTTACTCCAGCCCAGACTCGAAGAAAAGAGCCCTCCGTAGCTGCAGTACGCAAACTGTTTCTGATAAAAGCACACAAACTCACTTCCCATACATTCCAGCCAAGCAGAGAGCTTCAAGTGACTACAAAAACTAAAACTTCTGCAAGTATCCCAAAAAATGTAAAAGAATTCACCCAAAAAAAAATAAACATCTGTTTTTATTTTTTTCCACACTCATGCTGTTCCGAAACCATATGACTTTCTTTGTTCTGTGGAACACAGGAGGTTTAATTGAATTTCTTGATATATTAAAAAATTAATGAAAGAGAACTAGGTATTTGAAGCTGCATAATGACAAAAAAGTCACCATATGTCTTGTACAAAATCTTCTGAATATACACTACCGGTCAAAAGTTTGAAATAATTACGATTTAAAAAAAAAAAGTTTAAAAAAAAAGATGTTAAGCTCTCCAAAGCTGCATTTATTTCATGAAAAATACAGTGAAACAGTAATAATGTGAAATTGTCACGATTCCCTGTGTCTGTTTAATGGAATCTTATTTTGATATTCTGTTGTCTTGGTGTGCCTGTGTTCTCTTCCCGTGGTTTAGTTCCCACTCTTACAGTAAACGCCACCGGCAGAGTCTCGTCGCGTCATGGCCAACACACCTCAAGTTATTCCGCTGATCTCTCCACTCTCGTGTCCGGTGATCTCTTCGCTCTCGAGTCCGGTGATCTCTGCGCTCTCGAGTCCGGTGATCTCTGCGCTCTCGAGTCCGTGATCTCTGCGCTCTCGTGTCCGGTGATCTCTGCGCCCTCGTGTCCGGTGATCTCTGCGCTCTCGTGTCCGGTGATCTCTGCGCCCTCGTGTCCGGTGATCTCTGAGCCCTCGTGTCCGGTGATCTCTGCGCTCTCGTGTCCGGTGATCTCTGCGCTCTCGTGTCCGGTGATCTCTGAGGGCTGAGCCCTCGTGTCCGGTGATCTCTGCGCCCTCGTGTCCGGTGATCTCTGCGCCCTCGTGTCCGGTGATCTCTGCGCTCTTGTGTCCGGTGATCTCTGCGGCCTCGTGTACGGTGATCTCTGAGCTCTCGTGTCCGGTAATCTCTGCGCTCTTGTGTCCGGTAATCTCTGCGCTATTGTGTCCGGTGATCTCTGCGCTCTCGTGTCCGGTGATCTCTGCGGCCTCGTGTCCGGTGATCTCTGCGCCCTCGTGTCCGGTGATCTCTGTGCTCTCGTGTCCGGTAATCTCTGCGCTCTTGTGTCCGGTGATCTCTGCGCCCTCGTGTCCGGTGATCTCTGCGCCCTCGTGTCCGGTGATCTCTGCTCTCTCGTGTCCGGTGATCTCTGCGCCCTCGTGTCCGGTTATCTCTGCTCTCTTGTGTCCGGTGATCTCTGTGCTCTCGAGTCCCGTGATCTCTGCTCACTCGTGTCCGGTGATCTCTGCGCTCTCGAGTCCGGTGATCTCTGCGCTCTCGAGTCCGGTGATCTCTGCTCTCTCGAGTCCGGTGATCTCTCCACTCTCGAGTCCGGTGATCTCTCCACTCTCGTGTCCGGTGATCTCGTGTCCGGTGATCTCTGCGCTCTCGAGTCCGGTGATCTCTGAGCCCTCGTGTCCGGTGATCTCTGTGCTTTTGTGTCCGGTGATCTCTGCGCCCTCGTGTCCGGTGATCTCTGAGCCCTCGAGTCCGTGATCTCTGCGCCCTCGTGTCCGGTGATCTCTGCGCCCTCGTGTCCGGTGATCTCTCCGCCCTCGTGTCCGGTGATCTCTGCGCCCTCGTGTCCGGTGATCTCTGCGCCCTGGTGTCCGGTGATCTCTGCGCTCTCGAGTCCGGTGATCTCTGTGCTCTCGTGTCCGGTGATCTTTGCGCCCTCGTGTCCGGTGATCTCTGCGCTCTCGTGTCCGTGATCTCTGCGCTCTCGTGTCCGGTGATCTCTGCGCCCTCGTGTCCGGTGATCTCTCCGCCCTCGTGTCCGGTGATCTCTGCGCCCTCGTGTCCGGTGATCTCTGCGCCCTGGTGTCCGTGATCTCTGCGCTCTCGTGTCCGGTGATCTCTGCGCCCTCGTGTCCGGTGATCTCTGAGCCCTCGTGTCCGGTGATCTCTGCGCCCTCGTGTCCGGTGATCTCTGCGCCCTCGTGTCCAGTGATCTCTGCGCTCTCGTGTCCGGTGATCTCTGAGCCCTCGTGTCCGGTGATCTCTGTGCTCTCGTGTCCGGTGATCTCTGCGCTCTTGTGTACGGTGATCTCTGCGCCCTCGTGTCCGGTGATCTCTGAGCTCTCGTGTCCGGTGATCTCTGCGCCCTCGTGTCCTGTGATCTCTGCGCTCTCGTGTACGGTGATCTCTGAGCCCTCGTGTCCGGTGATCTCTGCGCTCTCGTGTCCGGTGATCTCTGCGCCCTCGTGTCCTGTGATCTCTGCGCTCTCGTGTCCGGTGATCTCTGCGCTCTCGAGTTCGGTGATCTCTTCGCTCTCGAGTCCGTGATCTTTGCGCTCTCGTGTCCGGTGATCTCTGCGCTCTCGAGTCCGTGATCTCTGCGCTCTCGTGTCCGGTGATCTATTCGCTCTCGAGTCCGGTGATCTCTGCGCTCTCGTGTCCGGTGATCTCTGCGCTCTCGAGTCCGGTGATCTCTGCGCCCTTGTGTCCGGTGATCTCTGCGCTCTCGAGTCCGGTGATCTCTGCGCTCTCGTGTACGGTGATCTCTGAGCCCTCGTGTCCGGTGATCTCTGCGCCCTCGTGTCCTGTGATCTCTGCGCTCTCGTGTCCGGTGATCTCTGCGCTCTTGTGTCCGGTGATCTCTTCGCTCTCGAGTCCGTGATCTTTGCGCTCTCGTGTCCGGTGATCTCTGCGCTCTCGAGTCCGTGATCTCTGCGCTCTCGTGTCCGGTGATCTCTGCGCTCTCGAGTCCGGTGATCTCTGCGCTCTCGTGTCCGGCGATCTCTGCGCTCTCGTGTCCGGTGATCTCTGAGCCCTCGTGTCCGGTGATCTCTGTGCTCTCGTGTCCGGTGATCTCTGCGCTCTTGTGTCCGGTGATCTCTGCGCCCTCGTGTCCAGTGATCTCTGCGCTCTCGTGTCCGGTGATCTCTGAGCCCTCGTGTCCGGTGATCTCTGTGCTCTCGTGTCCGGTGATCTCTGCGCTCTTGTGTACGGTGATCTCTGCGCCCTCGTGTCCGGTGATCTCTGAGCTCTCGTGTCCGGTGATCTCTGCGCCCTCGTGTCCTGTGATCTCTGCGCTCTCGTGTACTGTGATCTCTGAGCCCTCGTGTCCGGTGATCTCTGCGCTCTCGTGTCCGGTGATCTCTGCGCCCTCGTGTCCTGTGATCTCTGCGCTCTCGTGTCCGGTGATCTCTGCGCTCTCGAGTTCGGTGATCTCTTCGCTCTCGAGTCCGTGATCTTTGCGCTCTCGTGTCCGGTGATCTCTGCGCTCTCGAGTCCGTGATCTCTGCGCTCTCGTGTCCGGTGATCTCTTCGCTCTCGAGTCCGGTGATCTCTGCGCTCTCGTGTCCGGTGATCTCTGCGCTCTCGAGTCCGGTGATCTCTGCGCCCTTGTGTCCGGTGATCTCTGCGCTCTCGAGTCCGGTGATCTCTGCGCTCTCGTGTCCGGCGATCTCTGCGCCCTCGTGTCCGGTGATCTCTGCGCTCTCGTGTCCGGTGATCTCTGCTCTCTCGAGTCCGGTGATCTCTTCGCTCTCGAGTCCGGTGATCTCTGCGCTCTCGTGTCCGGTGAGCTCTGCGCTCACTAGTCCGTGATCTCTGCGTGGTCTTCTGCTCTGCAGTTATGCTCTTATGCACCTTCAGCTGGTCTGGACAGTGATACAGTTTTTTTTCCAGCATTCTTTGATTAATAGGAAATTTAAAAAACAGCATTTACAATTTAAATGTTTAGTACCGTTATAAATGTATTAACTGTGACCTTATAATTTAATGAGTTTTTAAATCTTACTTACCCCAAACCTTTGAATGGAAGTGTGTCATAGTTCCCACAAAAATGTTAAACAGCCTAAAATGGTTTTCATATTAATAGGATTTCTTGAGCAGCAAATCATCATATTAGAATGATTTTTAAAGGATCATGTGACACTTAAGACTGGAGTAATGATGCTGAAAATTCAGCTTTACCATCACAGGAATAAATTACATTTGAAAATATATAAAAATAGAAAACAGTTATTTTAATTCTAATAATATTTCACAATATTACTGTTTTTACTGTATTTTTTTTTATAAATGCAGCCTTGGACTTCTTCAGAAACATAAAAAGCTGTTAAAAATGTAATTGTAGCAGTCTGTTGACTGGTAGTGTATTTGTTAGGTTTGAGATCAAAAGTTTAGTTGTTTTTTTTTACAAAAAATCTTGCACTGGCACTCATTGGTTCATTCATAAGAGAAATAGCCATTTTTGTCTGATCTTTTTATCCAGTCTAAATGATTCCTTCATGACCTACTTTTATAATATTTTAAAGATACATATAGGTGCATGTTTAAAGCTTTGGTCCACATTTATTGTAATTAATGGAAAAGAGTGACCAGTACGTCAATCAAAATATGTTCTTTGTGTTTAAAAGAAGAATGAAAGTCATTGGAATGGCATGAGGCTATATAGTTTAAATTAGTTTGAAATGATTTTGAACTGTGCAATCTGTATTTAAGAAATGTTTAAGTCGATACTTATGATAATGAATTATTGTCATTGAAAAACCTCTGTTCTCATGGAGTTTGCAGAAAACAATTTAAACAAAGTTTTTTCATTCATTGAGGCATTATGCCAATATCGAAACAATCATGCATCTCGGCAGAACATTAACACCACTCCAAAGCCCCCTAATGAGTGAGAATTGGTTTCGGTCACACCCACACTGCGCAGTAGCCTAAATAGACACAGTTAAATTAAGCGAGTGGTACACTTCCCCAAAGAATTACTGGGAAATAAATAATGTGCTTTATATTAGGCTGTTTTTTTTCTGTGGAAAAAAGTTCATTATTAATAAAATGATAAATAAAACTTTCTGGCAGATGCTTCATTCCGAATCATCTTCCTCTCAGCAGGATATCAATTAATAAGTAACTGTTTTTCCTGTAATGTATGCATAAATTTACCATAGTAACCATGGCTATGACAACAAAACTGCTGCATTAGCCATTGTCACAAAAAAAGAGAAATGAA